TGACCAGTCAGTCCGTAACTCTGGTGTTCATAGCTTTGAGGTTCTGCTGTATTTGCCAGCTCCCAACCTCAGTTGCAGCCTCCCGACCGCTATCCCGGAGGGTATGGTGGATCTCCCATCCCCATCAATGGCTAGTTTACAGCTGCCCTCGTGTGCAAAGGCGGTAATGTCCAAGGGAAAAGCTATGAAGCCCAAAAGGGAGTTTCTATTTTAGGAGGGAATCATCAAAAGGATCTCCAGAGGATATTAGCTCCCAGCTGCACAGAATCTGTCCTGCAAACCGAGGATAGGCCACAACCAGGAATCGTCTCGATTTTCCAGTAGTTTTCACCGCAGATGTTGGTACAAGCACAAGATCCAGCCAAGAAACAGTATGGTGCCTGTGCAAGATAAAGTGCTAAACATGCCAATTGCACGGAGACAACCGCTCAAGGAGGAGATTCTGAAACCATGCAAAGCAGGTATCTTTGAACCGGCTGATTCGTCAGAACGGGTTTCTTTCTCCTGTCGTTCTTGCCAGGAAGCCTCATGGTGCCGTCTGTATGTGTGTGGACTTGAGAGATCTAAACTCCAACATTGTCGTGGATTGTCCTGCTCTATCCAACATCAGTGAAACGCCGCACACCTTGAAGGAGGCATGAGTCTTTATGACCCTTGATTTGTCACTCCATGAAGTTCGTTCAAATTCCAGTGGATGTCATTTGGGTTCGCCTCGGCAGCAACTGTATTCCAGAGAATGTGTGGCATTTTTGGAGAGAGAAGGGATGGTACTTGTTTCCTAGATGACATTGAAAGATGAATCCGAACATAATGTCCTCCTAAAAGGGGTTCTAGAAAAACGTTAAAGACACGGACTTACCGTCAGCAAGAAGAAATGTCAGTTCCGTACTGACTCAGTGACATATACAGGACATACAATCTCTCGGAACAGCATACCACCAAAACCAAACTTGGTGAAAGCCATTTGTGATGCACCAGAGCCTAAAATCAAGAACAAACTTTGGTCCTTCTTCGGATTGTGCAAATACTATTCAAAGTTTGCACTGTACAGCAATTTGCTGTGAAAGTAGTTCCTTTGCGCCATCTCCTGGAAAAGGATGTGAAGTTTGAATGGGATGGAGAGTGCAAGAACAACTTTAACGAGATAAATCATACAATTTCCAGCAGTCTGGCTCTTAGAATTATTATTATTATTATTATTAGAAGCAAACGATTGTCACAACAGGTGCTTGTGAGTTCTTGGTACTGTCTTGATTCAGCTAAAAAACGGATGAGAAGTCACGACTGCATTCACCTCCAGAGCCCTGACGGATCCAGAAAAATCGTATTCCATCATTGAGCAAGAAGCTCTGGCATGTTTCTGGGCAGTAAGACTTTTCAGAACCTACCCGTGGGGTCGGAAATTTATCTGAATATCTGATCACAAACCTCTTTCAGCTTTACTCACCATGCAAGGTTCTGGTTGAACAACTCTAAGAATTGCCAAATGGACTTTGATTTCCAGACAGTGTGTCTTCCAGGTGCCAAGAACTCCACTGCAGATCGTTTCTCTCACTTGGCCTTATCATGAGGGTGCAATAGAAAAAGCAGATGAAGAGATTGCCATTGGACTAATCTCTTCTACAACTCCAGGAGTGATCAGTCTCAGAGTGGGCAACAGCCATGAGAGAAGACAAGGTACTTTAGGACCTAAAGAGTTACATAGTCAATGGATGGACTTACAAGACGATAACACCAGAACACTTGCACCATATAGACACGTATCACGTGAGCTGTCCCTTGTAAATGAATGGAAGTTGAGACTTGACCCATCTTCTTGTGCCTACACTTCTGAGAGAATGATTGCTTCATTTGCCACATGAAGAGCACCTGGGGAGGAGTCAAACCGACAATGGTGACAAGACTTCTGGTGACCAGCGATGGACAAGCAGGTTGAGGAAATAATCCAGGATTGCCTGGCTTGTGCTACTAGTGAGGAGTCATGGAAAATCTTCAACATCCCTCTCACACCAGTTGACTATCCCAACTCTCCATGGGAGAAACTGGCTCTCGAAGTAATGGGACCATATGAAGATCAGCCTGGTACACAAAGGTTTCTCCTAGTCCAGGTAAACTATCATTCAGTGTGGCTGGAAGTTCCATTCACCGGAAAGGTGACCTCTGAAGCAGCGATTAAGTTCATGTCATCAGTTTTCACCCGAGAAGGGTTTCCCAAGGAGTTGGTAACTGACAATGGAATGCAGTTGACTTCTGCTGAAATGCAACACTACCTCTGTAGCAATGGTATTGAGCACAAAATGGTTTCTTTATACCAGTGGTCCCCAAACTTTTCAGCGTCACCCCCTCACACACACCTGTCCCCACACACACACCCTGAGCTGAGAGTGGGGCCGTGGCTCCGGGAGGGGGGGAGGAGGGGCAAACGCAGACAGGGGTAAGGGGACCGAGGTTCAGGCTGCAGATGTGGGGCGGGTCAGGGGTTGGGGCCAGGAATGGAGCTTCAGCCAGGGACGAAGACTGGGGGCTGGGAGCGGGGCTGGGGCCAGGTGCGGAGCCGCGACTGGGCTGCGGTCGGGAGAGAGGGTGCGGGTGGGGCTGGACACGGGGCTGGGCACCCAGGCTGCATCTGGGGGCAGGACCGGAGCAAAGCTCGGAGCGGGACTGGGTGGCGCTCCCTCCTCGCCCCCCAACAGGGCTGGCCTGGGCCCCACCACACACTCCTAGCGTTTGTCCATGCCCCACTAGGAGTATCACGCTTTGAACTGTTAAGAGGATGCAAGACCAATGCACGACTTCCTACCTGTCCAGGGCTTGTGTGTTCTCTTTTGTCAACCACATCCTCCCATGCAGCTCGTCGCGAAGGTGTTAAGAGCACACAGGAGAAGTACAGGTAGTACGGAGCGCGGAAGAACTTTGCTAAAAACCTCACGCGTTTCAAATTGGAGATTTTGTTCGTGTGAAGTTGCCATTCAGAGGCAGAAGAAAGGTATTCGAGACGTCCGTGTCCTTTGCAGATAACAGAACCCCGAGCAGATTCGGATGGATTAATGGATGGAAAGAAATGGAACATTTCAAGGTTGTCGGCAGCTCATCCGCCAGCATGTGGAGAAGAGAATGCTGATTTCCACTAGGGTGACCAGACAGCAAATGTGAAAAATCGGGACAGGGGTGGGGGGTAATAGGAGCCTATATAAGAAAAAGGCCCCAAAATCGGGACTGTCCCTATAAAATCGGGACATCTGGTCACCCTAATTTCCACCCTGGAGCAGAGAACACCGATGATCCCGATAGTGATGATGGACAGTCTATAGCATTTGGGAATTGCTCCATTACCCGGTCTCGGTCCTGCCTCTCCGTGTACTAGGAGAAGTGTGAGACAAAGTAGACAGCCTGAAAGGTTGGAAAACTTTGTTGCTGGACTCAAGTGACTGTTTGGAAGTAACAGTTTGAAGTCTGACAATGGTTGTTCTGAAGGGGAAGGGTGTGTCGTATCTAGCTCGGAGCAGATTGCTACCCCGGTTTGTAAGTCGGTTTCTAGGTGGTTCCTGGAGCTTTGAGTCCAGGAGCAACAATTCCCAGGATGCACCAGTGGAGAGCAAAGGGAGGGCGGAGAAAGAGGAGAAGGAAGAACGTGAGCTCTGTGAAAGAGAGGGGAATAAACCTTATCTTTTGTCGTTCTCTAGCTTCCTGAGTCTTCCTCAAAGGGGTTCAGGGACAAAAGATCATATCTCACTGTGTGTGTGTGTGTGTGTGTGTGTGTGTGTGTGTGTGTGTGTATAAAAGACCGTATCTTGCTCTGTGTGTGTGTGTGTGTGTGTAAAAGACCGTATCTTGCTCTGTGTGTGTGTGTGTGTGTGTGAGACCATATCTCGCTCTGTGTGTGTGTGTGTGTGTGTGTGTGAGACCATATCTCGCTGTGTGTGTGTGTCTAAGACCTTATCTCGCTCTGTGTGTGTGTGTGTAAGACCATATCTCGCTCTGTGTGTGTGTGTAAGACCATATCTCGTTGTGTGTGTAAGACCACATCTCGCTGTGTGTGTGTGTGTGTGTGTGTGTGTATAAAATACCATATCTCGCTCTGTGTGTGTGTGTGTGTGTGTAAAAGACCATATCTCGCTCTGTGTGTGTGTGTAAGACCATATCTCGTTGTGTGTGTAAGACCACATCTCGCTCTGTGTGTGTGTGTAAAAGACCATATCTCGCTGTGTGTGTGTGTGTTATAATTAGGATCTGGTTTTTGTTGGGGATTCTAGGTGCTTCTTTAATACAAAAAATAATAACCATGGGTTTATTACAACAGCGATTTAAGGAAGGAGACGACTGTCTTGTCTTATGATTTAAAAGGGACAATAGTAAAAAAACTTTAAGGAAACTTTCTTCATTTCCTTGGGCTAGTTTCTCATACCGGGTTTAATTCTCAGCCCTAGTGGTGCAGATTTACCTGGCAAGGTGAATTCACTTCTCAGTATCTAATCTAGTCTAAGCCACCGTAGTTCTAAAGTGCCTCTCACCTCAGTATCCATACACACCGCATCTGTCAGCTCCCAGCTCCCCAAAAGCTGGTTAACTTTCTGTGCCAGCCGCCTGGCTCTCCTCGGGATGGTGGAGTCCATCCCTTCCCTGCGCCAGAATGTCCCCCAGGCTCTAGCCCCCTCCTCTTCCCATCACCCCCGGACTGAGACCCTGAAGTTCCCCCAGGAGCTGGTCGTAGGCTGGTGGCCTGGAACGAGGGCGTGGCCGTATGCAGGCCACCTGGGCGTGCGAGTGGGAACTGGGCCATGTGCAGGGAGGGGAAGGTTTACATGGGGTTTGAGGCTTGAAGCTGTTCTTGCTCCCCGTCCTCGTGGCTGACCCAGGCTCTGTCTGTAACCAGCCGTGCCCAGTGGGTGGTGCACGGAATAAGCCCCTAACGGATGGGAAGGGGGCCGGGTTCCAGGAGGAAAGGGAACAGCCCCCCACCCCCTGACCCCTTTCACTCCCCACCTTCTTGTGCCCTACAGATCCTGGTGGCGTACCAGCGTGTCCAAACCCTCCAGAAGCTGCAGCCCTGGCCCCAGGTCAGCCTGTCCACCAGCTCGTCCCAGAATTCCCTGGCCAAGACCGAGAGGGCAACGCACGGCGGCTACAGCGACCTGGACCGCAAGATACTGCAGCTGTGCGGTAAGAGGGGGACGGCTCTTCCCAGCCCGAGAGGGGCCTGAGCACTGAGGGGGGCCGGCAGGCAGCACAGAGTGGGGGACCCCCTTCTCTAGAGCCCACGTGTGGGGTCGTGGCCATTGGCACACGGCCCATGCTGCATCCAGCGACCGTGGAGCAATAGACAGGCATGGAGGAGTTGCTATGGTGGACGGGACCTGGGGCCAGCCAGGCCCAGCTGCCCCGGAGCAGCAAAGCCCAGCCCCTGTGTGATACTGAGCGCCCTGGAGCTGTGGGGGGTGGGGGGCCCGCCCGCCCTGCAGAGACATTTGCCCCATAGCACTTTCCCACCTGGCGCTGTCCGGTGATTGGAGCCCGGGCTGCTGGATTCCAAGGCCCCATCCAACTGCATTTGGACTTTGACGTGAAAGGGGGCAGGTACTTGGCCCTGATTCCCTGCGGCTGGGAGACAGTGGGCTAGTCCTTGCCTCGCTCGGTGCCTCGGTTTCCCCATATGTAAATGGGGCTCCTGACACTGAGCTGCCTCCCGGGGCAGAGGAGAGACTGAGCGAATCCGTGCCCAGCTCTCTGAGATCATCAGCCAATGGCCTGACTCAGCCTGGCACCTCCCACCACGCCACAGGGAGCAGGAGCGCCAAGAACTGACCCTCCTCTGGCTGGTGGGAGACGAATGGCGGAGGGGATGGGCGGGGGAGGGGAGTCACCAGCAAGACCGTTACGGTGCAGGAGTTTCCGGAAGCACTGAGCTCCCAGTGCCCAGCGCGGTGGGCTGGTTCCGGCTGGGTTAGCTAGTGGTGCTACCTGGCTTCCCCGGGCGGCTTAACTCCCTCCCGCCAGCCCATCGCACCGGCTAACGCTCTCGCTCGTTGCTCTTGCAGGGGAGCTGTACGACCTCGACGCGGCCTCGCTCCAGCTCAAGGTCATTAACTATGTAAGTACCTGGGTGCTTTGCTGTGACCGCCACTGACCTCCCGGGGAGGGAACGTTCTCGCAGGGAAACCCGGGGCAGCCTTGCTAGTGACCTCAGCTGCGCAGCGGAGCGTTGCCGGAGTGTTCCTAGCGCCGTGCAGATGTCAGCTGCTCCCCGCAGAGCGTCTTGCACACAGCCGCCCTCTGCAGGGGCTGGACAGAGCGGGGAGGTTCGCAGAACGGCAGAATAAACAGGAAGAGACGGGGCGTCTGCTTTATTTATCAGCGTTTCTAGTGCGCCCGTTGCCCTAGCAAAGGGGTTGGGTCGAGTGCCCCGCCCAGACCCAGCAGCTTTGTTTAATTTAACACCCCTCGGTCCCTGTTCTCACCCTTTTGGTTGCAAAGCAACCTCCTGACCAATGTCCAAAGTGTCGTCACTAGGCTTCAGAGTGAACAACAACTTGCTGCGCTAACTCGGAGGGGGCAGCTCACACCTCCCCCTTCTCCTGGAAGGATTTAGGTCACATTTGGGCAGGTTCAGAAGCTGTTCTTTGCTGCTGATGCCTCTTGTCCATACAGTTGAAGGTGTTGCTAGAACACTGCCAGTAGCCTGCAGCTGTTCTACCTCAGGGCGAGGACTGTGTCTCCCACTATGTGTCTGTCCAGCGCCTGGCGCAATGGGACTCAGATCTGAGTTGGAGCCCTCGGTGCTACTGTAGTATCCCTAATAATAATGGCTGTTCGTACAAGCGAGCTCCACCCACAGGATCTCCTGCCCAGGGCCCTCCATGACCTGATGACTCCAGTGCTGTGACTGGATCCCCCCGCATTCCAGCCCAGGCTGGCCACTTGGAGAGCCCCAGCCCTTGGTGCACGCTCAGCACCGAGATGGGGGCCGGTTCTCATCACAGACAAAGCTCCCCTTGGGAGCAGGGCTGGCCCCGGGTCAGAAAGGGAGGAGTGAGAAGGGGGCACTGGGAGGCTCCGGCCATAGGAAAGGGGATACAGGACCACTCACCTCTGTCCCCTCAGCCTGGCGTCAGCAGCTGTTAGCAGCATCTGGTAGCTCTTCTGCGGCGAATGGGACAGGGTGGGTGACGTCGACAGGCAGCCCCTTTGCTGGCTGCCTCAGCAGAGACCCCAAAGACAGGCGGTGCAGGGAGGCTAAGCTCTCCTCGGTGCCCTGGGTCGGGGACGCATCGGCGGTGCCCATGTTGTGCCCTGCTTCTGTGGGTGATCCCCAGGGCTCTCGGTCGGGCACCTCTCACCAGCACTAGATTAAGAAGGGTAGAGAAGGAGGTTCAAGTCCTGCCATCGCCTTCCATAGGGTGGCACCTGCTTACCCTGGGCTTGGATTGGCCCTGGGGAGAGTTTGGGTTGGCACGGGCGTCAGGGGAGGAGCTTGTGTGGGTGGGAAGCTGGGCACTGGGGTGCGGGCGGTGCCATCCTAGAGAGGAGCAACAGGAATACAAGCATTGAAAAAATTGTCTCTGTCCCAGCGGCCAAGAGGTCAACCCCCATTCTAGTGAGCACAGTCCCTGGGTCTGGACAAAGCCCAGAGACTCAAATCTGGGCTCCAACCCTCTCCTCTTGTGAGTGGGTCAGACCCTGAGCTCTGCACACAGCCCTGGCTCTGGCAAACCGTCCCTCGGCGTCCAGGGGTCTTGGCTGATGGTTCAGGAGGGGAAGTGCCCCGGTGGGTGCTGGGACTTGTCCCCAGTGTCAGGTTGGTTCTGTTGGTTTAGCTCGTGCCTCTGTGCTCCCCAAATCAAGCTAACCTGAGACGAGCCAGGGCGAAACGGACCGAGTATATGGGGATAAACCACCCCCTGCCGTTAAGTGGAGAATTGGGTCTCCCGGCTGTGCCCTCTGGAGTCTGCTTTGCCAAGCGCATCTTGCAGCTGGCTTGTGTTGGCACAGGGGTCTGGGGAGGAGCTTGTGTCGGTGGGAAGGGCGGCTTTGGGGTGCAGGTGAGCACGGTGGTGCTGGACGTGCTCCCCCAGCCACCCTAGAGAGGTGCTGCTGGACTCTGACCGTTGGAAGTGATGGTTTCCCTCTATCTGGGGGAGCCCAGTGGCGCTTCAGTCCAAGCTCTAAATCTCTAGTCTTGTGCAAAAAAAGGTTTAAACCCTCCTCTGCTTTCCTAGGCCCCTTTATCTCCTACTACCCGTCACTCTCTGCCTGGAGCCCGCTCAGCAGCCAGGTGTAGCACTTTTTGGGAGCCAGGATTCCTGGGTTCTCGTCCTCCCTCTGCCACTGACTCCCTGTGTGACAGTGGGCAAGTCACTTAGAGTGCTGTGCCTCGGTTTCCCCACCTGTAGCCAGGGGAGGATGCTGCTTCACCTTTGTAAGTACAAGTGCCAGGTGGTGATGAGAGTGATGGGCCCCCAGCAAACAGCCTGGCTGAGCTAAGCTACCCAACATTTGCGCTGCAGATCTCAGCGGAACAGGCTGGCGGGTGTGTCCCAGGGCCTCCTGCCTGTGCTGGAGAGCGCTGCCCCTTCCTGCTCTAAATAGGGTCTCTCTGCATCTCTAACCACTGCCTCCCTCTCTCTCTCTCTTCCCCAGCTGAAGCAGGAGACCCAGTCCCCTTGCTGCTGCCTCCTGCTGGTCTCGGAAGATAACCACCAGCTCTTCTGCCAGGTGGGTGGTACCGCAGCCCCAGGCGGGCCGGGCCTGTCCTGGGAGGAGTCCAGAACTCGCCCTAGGGAACAGCCGTGGAACAAGTAAACCCAGTTGCCCTGCTTGGAGCACAGACGGGGCCTTCTGCACAGTGGGAGGGAGGCAGGGTTCCCGGGGCTTGGGGTGTCATCGGCTACTCCAGGAAGAGCACCCCCCCCCCATGAAATAAATCTGTGCGCCCATCTGCCCGTCGCTGTCCATGCTGCTCTGCTGAGAGGAGCTTTCCTTTCCCTGGGCTTTCTCCTGCAGCCCCATCCTCCCCTGTCCCGTCGGGGCCAGTTCCAGCCGGGTGCTCCTGGGACATCGCTGGGTGTCCACAGTGCTCAGCACCTCTCAGGATCAGGTCCGGAGGGTCTCCGGGGCAGGGGTTTGACTCCCTCTCATCCCTGTGTGGTATGGAGACCATGCCGGTGACCCCAGCAGAGACGCTGCGGAGCTCCGCTGTTTGAGTGGCAGGGGAATTGGGCCCGGGTCCCTCTGCTGGCGAGCCTGCACTGTTCGTAGGGCACCAGGAACGTGCCTGGCGCTGTGAGCAGAGCCAGCCAAAAACCGTCTCTTCCCGCCCGCCACACATTTTAGAATTAAAGCAAAAAAGTTCATCCTAAATTGGGACACAAAGGGCAAAAGTGTGTAAATTTCACAGGAAGGAAAGAAAGAAAAGAAATGTGTTTGGGGAGAAACAGCAATGTTTGGCTGGCTCCTCGGGCAGCCCGGGGGGCTGGAGAGCTGGCTGCCCGGTTTGTCAGCTGCCCAGGGAGGTGGGCAACCCACCCTGCTGGGGAGCGGCAGAGCCTGGAGCCCTGGCTCGATGGCGGCCTGCCAGGTGAGCCGTGGAGAAGCTGGGGAGCCCAAAGGGGCGACCGGTGGCAGAAGATTAAGGAGGTTCCCACCTGGAACTTGCCTGGAGCCTATTGACAGTTGTGTTGAAATCGACACATTCCCGCAGGGGGGCAGGGATCTTATCAGGACCGTTTTAGAGTCAGAGAGTTCAAGGCCAGCAGAGATCAGATCATACAGTGTGTCCTGTCTGTCACAGGCCACCAGCCCCACCCAGCACCCGCGCGCTATACCGAAATGAGCCCAAAGCGAATGAGACCCACAGGAAACTAGACCGTGATGTGCCACAGGCAGTGAATAGGAGAGTGACCCTATCACAGGGTCCACTCACCCCTCGGGCGCCTCCTCCTGGCCACTCTGGGAATTAGCGCTTTCCAGGTGCTGCGCCCTCCTCTGGCCATGTCTCCCCCCGTCCTGCCTCGCCCTGCAGCCCCTCTCGCTCTAGGAGCTGCTGCTTCCTATTGGTAACTCGGCTGCCCCCGGCCAGGTCACTATTGTCCTCCTCTTCCAGGGTATCCAAGTCCTTCAGGGCAAACTGTCCCCGGCAGTCCGCTCTCCGCTGTCTGGTCTGCACCACTTCCCCAGGGGCTGGTAGGGGAGCCCGGGCCCACCCTCTGCTCCGGGTTCCAGCTCAGGGCCCTCTCCTCAGCAGCCAAGCTCTGCCCTCCCCTGACGCTTTGCTGCCTTCCCTACCTCTCTGGCTCTCCCCCTGCGCTGGGTTTGCCGGCCCAAACTCTCTCCTCCCAGGGAGTGACTGTAGGCTACCTAGCCCTGCAGCCCCAGGAAACACCTCCCTTCTTCTTCCCCGCCAGCCCTTCTGCTCTCAGCTCCTGGGCTTTATCCGGGCCCCTCTGTTCCTGGCCAGCTAAGCCTCATTTAATCAACCCCTGCTCCCTGGCTCCTCCGCCAGGTGGAGCCCAGGGAGTAAATTGGCCCACCTGGCAGCCTTAACCCCCTCAAACTTTGTGGGGGGTGCACACCCCCTCCCAGACCCGCACCCACATGCTGTGGAGGAAGGTGAAAAAACCCCAAGGTCCTGCCAGTTTGACCAGGGGGCCAATTCCTTCCCGACCCCACACATGGCGATCAGTTAAATCCTGAGCATGCAAGCCAGAACCAGCCAGCCCAGCACCTGAGAGAGAGAGAGAGTGCTTGGTGCCACCTCAGCACCCTGGCCCTCCCCGTCCTATGTCCCACCTCCGGCCGTGGCCATCCCTCATGCTTCAGAGGAAGGAGATTAAATAAACCCTCCCAGAATACACCGGGGTGGCAAAAAATCCCTTCCTGACCCCTGAAACCCTGAAGCATGAGCTTTAGAAACATACATAAAAACCAGCCCAGCAAAGATGCAGAGATGGGCAAAATGATCCCGTCATGTCACCCCCTACACTGGGTCTGATTCGAGTAGATTCTCCCCTCCCACCCCACCCATCCTACAGGAGCGTTCCCTGTATTGGAATAGTGGCTAGGGACTTTTCTCCTTTCGCTCCAGGGGCAGAGACCGGAGCACCTGGAGCAGGAAAACCTGGATTCTGTTCCCACTGCTGCTACGAAGTTCCAAGCTCACCCACCCTGAGCAGCTTTCACAGAGACAATCAGTTCTCGGCTAATTCGACCCTACTGCATAAAGGGTTTAAATTCTCTCTCAGCTCCTGTTCCGTGGCCAGGGTTTTCCAGAGCACCGATTCCTCAGCTCCTCGGCCCTCACCTCTGTGTTTCTTGTTTCCTCCAGGTCGTGGGAGATAAAGTGCTGGAAGAGGAGATCAGCTTCCCTGTAAGTCGTTAGATGTTCTCTGGGGCTCAGCAGCAAAGCTCGGCTCTGTATTCCAGACCTGCTGGGGTTTAAATCAGCCTCGCTCCAGAGATGAGGCTAGCCATGGGATGTACATACCGTGACAGTCCTCATGCTTCCAGGCATAGACAGCTCCCCAGCTGGGGTCAGGAAGGAATTCCTGGAGTAGGGTGGCACATTTACGGGGGGGGGGGGGGGGGCAATGAGGAGAGAGGGGACCCAGACCACCAAGGGTGGCTGCAGATCCCAAGTTCGGGAGTGCTCAGATCTGGGTGTTTGCCTCAGCCCCATCCTGAGCTGTGAGTCCATGAGCACTTTTAGCCCTGGCCACGCTCGGTCTGACCCAAGTGGAGCCATCGACTTCTCCAGCTGTGGCAGCTCCTATGGCCTCTCATTACAGACCTGAGACACGACCACTGACAGGCCGTGTTCTTGCTTGTTGATTGACGGCCTCCAGTGACGCCAGCCGACAAGTGAGAACATCCGCTCTGGAACGACGTTGAACTCTCCCGGGAGAGCAGCTGCAGCCTGGAGGAGTCTGGGCTCCAGCTCCCTTCCCAGGCCACGCGTCAGGAAGCCGGTAAACACAGGCTTCATTTCACTAGCGCCGGGGCTGCTTCTGTCCTCACCCCTTCGCTCCAGGACGCCCCTTCCTCTTTCCCCAAGGCTTTGTCCAGGTAGATCCACTTGAAAGCCAACCGGAAAACATCTGGAGAGCAGCCAGCAACTCTGGCAGTGCACGCTGCAGCCCAGCTGCTGGGGAACGCTTCCATCGACAGATGTTACAATCCAGATGTTCAGCGCCTATGTCAATGGAGCTGCCCCGATTGATACCGGCTGAGATTCCCGCCCTTAGCTCTGTTAACTGTTCCTCATAAGGCGATCCTTCCGGCCTTGCCGCCACCCTAAACATCTAGCCAGCGGGCAGAACGAGCCTGTCCTGGTAATATCCCCTCCTCCTTCTCCAAGAGGTCCACCTTAGGATAGGTAGAAAGGAGACCATCCACAAAGAACCCATCCCACGTCATCCGTGGAGCCCAGTGCATGCTGGGCCAGGCCTTTGGGGGTGCATGGATGGGCAGACTTGGGCGAACATTTTCAAAAGCACCAAAGAAACGTAGGCTCCGCGTTGCCGTTTTCAAAAGTGACGGGCATTTAGGAGCATAAAGCCCGTTGGCTTTAAATGAGCACAAAGCTAGTGAAGCACGTCGACCAGTGGCTTTCAACTGGCGGGGAGCACATCCAACTTTCTAGATCAGGGGTGGCCGACCTGTGGCTCCGGAGCCACGTGCGGCTCTTCAGAAGTTAATATGCGGCTCCTTGTACAAGCACCGACTCCGGGGCTGGAGATACAGGCGCCAACTTTCCAATGTGCGGGGGCGCTCACTGCTCAACCCCTGGCTCTGCCACAGGCCCTGCCCCCACTCCACCCCTTCCCACCCCCTCCCCTCGAGCCTGCCGTACCCTCGCTCCTCCCCCCTCCCCCCAGAGCCTCCTGCACGCCACAAAACAGCTGATCAGGAGGTGTGGGGAGGGAGGGGGAGGCGCTGATCTGTGGAGCTGCTGGTGGGTGGGAGGCGCTGGGAGCGGGGGAGGTGGGGGGCTGCTGCCGTATTACTGTGGCTCTTTGGCAATGTACATTGGTAAATTCTGGCTCCTTCTCAGGGTCAGATTGGCCACCCCTGTTCTAGACAGGTGCCTTGAGCCTTCCCTCTCACTCATGGGGTCGCAATGCCGCTCGCGCCAATTCGGCCGCCCCAGAGGGGCAGCTGGGCCAAAGTGGAGTGAGTGGCATTGCAACCTGGTGCTCGGTGTCACAACACTGCTCCGGTATGGTCCAGCCCCCCCCCCCCTCCATCTGATGAAGCAGCAACCAGGTCAAATTTGAGTGAGCGCACGCAGGGTCCCGCTGCCACTCAAACTGGGGCCAGCCACCCCTCTGATTTGCATCGGGCAGCGTTGCAACCTGGGGCCCGGGGTCACCTCCCTGACTCGCGCTCTTCCATGCTGAAATCCTGCCCAGCCCGGAAAACGTGCCCTGAAAAGGTTTCCCAGCCTAGGTGCAGATTCGCAGCAGGATGGAAGGGCTGACTTATCTCGATTGGAATCAATGTACAAACAGCCCCAGGTCTAGCTCCATTACATTGGAGAGATCCATTTTGTAGGGAGGGGGGGAAAGGGCCTCATTCCAGAAAGGTTGAGAAGCCCTGCCCGAGCCCACTGGACCTGATCTCCGCTCAGCCGATGCTTTCCGGCAGAGCAAGCCCTCTGCGAGTATTTAAGCAGCTCACCCATCGCCTGGGTCAGGATCACTAGAGCGCCAGCCTGCCAGGCACTCCAGCGAGAGCCCAGTCGATGCCAGCACGCAGATCCATTAGCTAGATAATAACGCGATCAGCCAAGCGCCGGTGCCTGTGGAAGGTTAAGTGCCATCTGTGACACTCATAGATCTCCGCACCCGCTCTCTTGATCTCTGTCTCGTCTTCTTTCCTGCCACTTCCCTGCTCGGGGTCGGCCACTTTTCTAGCCTCCTTCCGAAACGCACGATCGTGCCGCCTGGCCTCTCTGAGATCCGGTCTTTGATCTCCTCCTGGGCTGTCTTCTCTCCAGTCCGCGCCAGAGCCATCCCGATGCTCTACCTCTCCCGCCCCCGTTAGAGACGCTCGTACCTCCGACTAAGAGATTCAGAAGCACTTTGAGGCTTCGATCGGTGTTTCCGTGTAGCACGTTTTGGGGAGCAGTCTGGAGCAGGGAGAGGCTGTGGCACCGCTGGTGCGTGCCGCTCTGCCGGCTGGGAGCTCCCCACCCCGGTTACAGGGCAGGCAGTGACACGGCCTCTCACTGACCCGGATTGCTGCCCAGAACGTGACGCCGGGATGCGTCTATTACCGAAGGTGAGACTGCTCCCAGCGCAGCCACCTTCGAGTGGAGCAGGATTGGCCGTCAGCAGCTCCCCCCGATCCTTAATCCAAAGCAAAGGGGGCCAGATTCATCCCCGGTGAAACTTTGCCGGCTGCCACGGAGCTAAAGCCAGGGATGCGACTGGCCCGGTGCGCGGGGAGGCCGCTCAGTGGTGGATGAAAAAGGCCATTGCAGCCATATTGCAAGGGTAGGAATTGATGGGCATGGCAGACTGGTGCTGAAGGGCACTGCCTGGGCTGGAGGACTGTGGACAGCCTCAAGTCACTGGTTTGGCCGTGTCCCACGTGCTGATCCCATCGAGCAGCTGCCTATGTGGCAGGAGTTTGGTGGGTCTCAGCCCGCTGCCCCATGGGGCAGGGTCCACGCTGCCATATTTCTGTAGTGGTCTGTGTGTGCTGTGGAGCTCAGTGGAGGGGCCAAGCTCTGGAAGGGCTTGGAGACTGAGCTGGCCTCTCCTCATAAGTAGTGGCCCCGCAAGCCCTGCTTCTCCTTTTGCACCGTGTCCAGGGGGCTGGGTGGGGGAGCTGGGTGTGCCGCTGCACCCGGGCTCCTGCGTGATGCGACTTCACCCACGAACCAACCTTCCTCTTCCTCAGCCTCCCGAGTGCACCAGCTCCTGACTCTCTTCTCTTTGCCTGCAGCTGACGTTTGGGCGTCTGGGGAAGGTGGTGGAGGAGAAGAAATCCATCACCCTACAGGACATCAGTGTGGTAAGTAGCTGGGCTTCCCCCAGGCTCGGGGCCCCGGGGGGAGAGGCCCGCCATGTGGCCATGATGGGAGCATGGGCATGCAGGCCTTGGGCGGACAAGGGGGAGGATGTCCTCACCACTCTTGGATGTCCCTCGGATGCTACTGAGGTGGGCACGGTATTAATGCAAAAGGCCAATGCTGTGATGTCTGAGCACCACGGGTGGAGAGGAGAGGGCCAAGCGTGTAGGAACTCCTGTCTCAGCTGCAGGCCAGTCTCCATAGCCTACCTTGTCCTCGCTCAATAGCTGATCGTGCATGGGTGCTCTGACACCAGGGGGATGGGCACAGTATAAGGAGCTGGATAGGCAGGCAGGGGCAGCGGCAGAACTTTCCCGTGCTGGCCTTAGCCACACAATAGTCATTTTGCAGAGCGCCGCTCACTGCCTGGCCGTGGTTGCTGGGCTGTTCACAAACATGCTGCTGCCAGGAGAGGCCAGTCCAAGGCCCTGGACTAGCTCCGTCACCATCGGATTAGCTGACAGATGGCTGGATGGAGGGGCACACGCCTGTTTCTCTCTTCTGTCTACGGGCTCGGCAGAGCCACAGCTGCGGCGAGATCGTCACCGAGCCTCCCGTGTTGTTCTAGTGACACCATCAGAGCAGTTCTCCCAACACCCCCCAGAGGGCGGGTGTGTCAGGCGATCACCCGGAAAGTGTGACAGTCCCGCGGCCAGCTCTGCAGAGCACACTGTGCAGCTGCATCAGCGGGGCTCAGTCTGGAGGTACATTTCCAGTGGGACACACACATTTCTGAGTATCCCTGCCCTGCTCTAAGGGATTAAATGAATCAGCTGATGGGTGTGTGCACCACTGCCCTCTATTGGGTGGAATCGGAACTGCTCAGGTTTGTGTCATAGACCCCATTCAGCTAAGAGCTAAAGGAGAGTCTCTCTTAGCTCAAGTGTCAGGGGCAGGGGGTTGGGGATCTAAGCTGTGTCCCTGATGAGAAGTTCTGAGCAGCTGTGGTGTGCCTCAAAGCAACAACAGAGCAGTGCTAGGGGAACGTGGACTTGTTACAGAATTAACACCAGTATCCCACAGGGCGGGGACACGATTTGCCCGAGGTGACACAGAGACTCAGTGGCAGACCTGGGCACAGAAACCAGGGAGTCCTGACTCTCAGTTCGGTGCCCACGGCTACCACTCTGAAACCTGGAGCAGGTGTGTTTCTAGTGGGGTCCCACAGGGATCGGTGCTTGGCTCTATGTTATTAAATATTTTTATCAATGACCTAGAGGAAAATATAAAATAATCATTGATAAAATTTGCAGATGACACGGCGGTTGGGGGGCGGGGTAAATATTGAACAGGACAGGTCACTGATGCAGAGTGATCTGGGTTGCCTGGTAAGCAAGGCGCAAGCAAACCAGGGACGTTTCAATATGACCACATATAAAGTTATACCCCTAGGAACAAAGCATGCAGGCCGCGCGTACAGGGTGGGGGACTCTATTCTGGAAATCAGGGACTCAAAACAACCCATTAGAGGGTCGTGGTGAATATTCAGCTCCCAGTGCGACACTGAGGCCAGAGCGGTTATTTGACCTCTGTGTTTGACGCTGGTGTGACCGCTGTGGGACTGCTGTGTCCGGTTCTGATGTCCGTCGTTCAAGACGGAAGTTGATGAATTGCAGAGGGTTCGGATCAGACCCCCAGGAATAATGAAAAGATTGGAAAACCTGCCAGATCGCGAAAGACTCAAGGCGCACAACCTACGTAGCTTATCAAAGAGAAGGTTAAGGGGTGACTTGATCAGTTCAGAAGTAACTACACGGGGAACTGAAATAGGATGATGGGCTTTTCGGTCTAGCAGAGGAAGGTCTGACACGATCCACTGGCTGGAAGCCGAAGCCAGACAATTCAGCTTTGAAATAAGGCACCTTTTTAACAGTGAGGGCAATTAACTGTTGGAACAGTTCGTGCCAGACGTGGCCTCACTGGCCATTTTTTACTCCAGACAGGATGTTTTTCTGAAAGCTCTGCTTCAGTTCAGTCACAGCTCTTGGGCTTTGAAGCAGGAATTAATTCAGGGAAGTTGGCCTGTGTCGTGCAGAAGGTCAGACTAGATGATCTCTAGATGGCTTTATAATCTCGGAATGCCGGGCTGGCTGTCCTAGAGATGACCTGAAGGCTGAGCCGACAGCTCCACCAGAGAGAGGGGACAGGTCAGCGCTGGGGTGTGATCTGTCAGTCACGCGGGGCAGCGCTGAGATCCATCACTCATGCAGACATAGGCCCAGCCAGAAACCCAGTAGTGCCCCCAGTAGGAGCTGCTTCCAAACCCCACCTTGCAGGGGTGGGGGGATCTCCCTGCTGAAGAACCCTGGTTTGGTGTCCTGGCTCTGGGGACAAGTGAACCGAGTTTGATAGGTCTCAGCCTATTCATCCCATTCTCGGGCTGAACGGTGCAGTGTGACCAGAAGGCTCATCTCAGGGAGCCCAGGCCTGGAACGGCGGGGGGGTGGGGGCTGCAGGCTGGGACTGAGGTGCATCGGCAGAGCGGGGCGTGGGGATGGGTAGCCCAGGGCTGGAACAGCAAGGGTGATTAGGATGCCCCTGGTGCAATCCAGGAGTCCCGAGTGAGCAGCTGCTCCTCCTGCAGCGTCTCTGTGCCGGGGACAGAGGTTTGTTAGCGAACGCTCTGCTCCCAGCCAAGGCCTGGGCTCGTGTGGCGGGAGCAGCAGCCGCTGGACAGTGCCGTGGAGGAAATGCCCCGCTAGCTCCACGGAGAGTGCTCAGAGCTGGGGAACTGCCCCGCAGGGAATGGGCGTCGCGGTTCAGTGTGTGTGAGGGTTCAGATCCAAATGCAGGGCTGGGCTGGGAGCGGATCCCTGAGTTCCTCCTGGAACGAACAATCCCGGAGTAGCTCAGCTCGAAGAGCGCTGGATCTGAGCACCCAGGTGTCCGGACGCTGAATGGATCTTTAGTGGACCCTTTGTGCACGATCTCTGCGTCTCGTTTCCCCCTGTGAGAAATGGGGATGATGCTTATCTGCCTGGTGCTCAGATACTCCTGTGAGGGGGCCGTGCAAGTCCCTGTGCAGGCTCTGTCTGGCTCATGCTAGGATGATAGCTCTCTTGCACACAAGGGGCTGGTTTGGTGTCACCCCTGCTGAGAAATAATAACTCCCCCAGAAGCCCTGCACTCACCTCCGAGCCGGCTGAGCGTCTGCCCCAGGGTAAGCTGCAGACGCTGCCCTGGCGCGTGCTGCGGTCATGAGCCAGCACGCGGGGTCAGGGAAGTTATTTATCTGTGCCGCCCGAGCAATCCGTCACCTCCCCTTGGGTAGACAGGCAGTTCGAAAGTCTGAAGAGAGCGAAAGAAGTGTGAATACGGTTCGGGATGATGGAAGGACTGAGGTTGCCGCTTGGGAACCCGGCTGACAGGCTGCCCGCGGCTGCGTGAGAGGCGTTGGGGGCTGTCAGCCCAGTCACTAGTGGAAGAGCGCCGCCATCGCAAAAAACAGGGCTCTATTTGGAGCTTCTCGGCGGCAGTACAGGGCCTCTGACACACAGCCTAGCAGTTCCGATGCCATCCAGCAGAGGGCCCCTCCGGACTTAACCAGCTCATTGCATTATTGTGTTACCCCGCCTGTTCCTACTGTTGTGTTCTCTGTTTAATACACAAGGGTTTGGCGTGTTTGGTGTTTTAAAGAATATAAAGGAAAATGCCCGTCCCCTCTTGGGCAGTGCCGGGGCACACTGGCTGGCAAGGCAGAGATAAGCATTTTGTTTCTGCCCTGGCGAAGTGCCGGAGCTAAGGAATCACTCCCGAAAGGATAAACAGAAGGGCTGTGGAGCCCAGCAGCCGCAGCGGCGAAGTGGTAAACAGCTGTTCAGTCTGACTCCGAGCAGTAAATCCTAGAGGCTTAGCGTGGGCCCAGGAGCTCAGTGGTATGAACATCCCAGGCCAAGCTGGCAGTCAGTAACCGGCTGAGGAGAGCCTCTCCAGTTGCCTCTCTCTCTGCTTCTCTTTCTCCTTGAGAAGCCGTTTGTGACACCGCCACATCGCAAGCTTCCCCCGTGGCAGCAGCGTAGGGAACAGAGAGTGCCGCTCGTCCCCGTGCCCCTGCCGCTCCGAGCGAGGGTAGAGATGGGGATCAGAGAAAGCAGCTGTCTGGCTGTTATCAGCGGGTGGCTGCTCAGCCATCGATGTGGAATGAATTAATAATGTTAATACCCAGCTCTGGTACAGAGCACTGTCTTCCACAGAACGCAACGGGCTTTAGTAGTATCATCACTGTGTTATACATGGGGAAACTGAGGCACAGAGCGGCGGGGTGACTTGCTGAAGGTGACCCAGCCAGCCAGTGTCCCCACTGCAGTGCTGTATCCACTAGGCCATGCTGCCTCCCAGATGGGGCATCGGTTCTCAGATTGAGGTTGCAAACAGGTGTCAAGGACTCGTGACCCCCTGGCCCTTTCCCTGATGCTAATTGGGTGGGTGGCTGCAGCCGGATGGGAGAGACACGGTCACACATGTAGCTAGGGTGTTACCTTTGCTGTGTCTCACAGTACCTAGATCAGGGATGGGCAAACTTTTTGGCCTGAGGGTCACATCGGGGTTGCCAAACTGTATGGAGGGCCGGGTAGGGAAGGCTGTGCCTCCCCAAACAGCCTGGCCCCCGCCCCCTATCCGCCCCCTCCCACTTCCCCCCTCAGAACCCCCGACCTATCCAACCCCCCCGCTCCTTGTCCTCGGACCGCCCCCTCCCAGGATCCATGCCCCTAACTGCCCCCCAGGACCCCACTCCCTATCCAACCCCCCCGCTCCCTGTCCCCTTACTGCCCCAACCCTATCCACACCCCCACCCCCTGACTGGCCCCCCAGCACTCCCAGGCCTATCCAACCCCCACCGTTCCCTGTCCCCTGACCACCCTCCCCCTGAACCTCTGCCCCATCCAAACCCCCCTACTCCTTGTCACCTGACTGCCCCGACCCCTATCCATACTCCCACCCCCTGACTGCCCTCCCCAGGACTCCCTGCCCCTTATCCACCCCC